CTGCAAAAATCAAGGGGTTCAAACTGGAAATAGAAAATAATCTCTATACAGCCAGTGAGTTAGAGAACTCAGGTGAAGACTACGACACGTTAGAAGAAAGTGATTGTGAATCTTCAGCTACGGAGAAAGAAACTGAGAAAACAGTAAAGCAGCCTAAAGTAGGGGGGACCAAAACAAAGGGGAGGGGAAATCATAAGAAAGTATTGGAGAATCGGTCAACTTCGAATGGGAACAGTAGTAAGAGGAAGACAGAAACCCCAAGCCCTGAGCAAAAAAATTTTCCAGCACGACGCCTTAGGAAAAAACTGAAAAAAAATTGAACTGTTTTTCTTTTAAATTGATATTCTTATGTACAACCTCCTATAGCATAGTCATGGATTACTTCATACGCGATTTCGATGGAATTAATGTTAAAAATAATGTAGTATTAAATGTCAAAGATTATGAATTTATATTAAAGGAAAGTAAATTTTGTTCCGATTTTAGAATATTAGGATTAAATATTAGTAGTTTAGCAAAGCATTTCAATGAACTCAATGTGTTCCTACAACAGTTCAAAAACAAATTTGAAGTTATAGTTCTGAGTGAAACCTGGAAAATTCCAGACACATCCATATTCAATATTGATGGATTTAACTTAATTTACAACCTAAGTCCTTTCAACCAAAATGATGGGATTCTCGTATATATCAAAGATAGTTTGTCATTTTCTTCCAAGCTGGAAGCAATAGGAGAGTTTTCTTGTATAAAGGTAGAAACAGAGGTTAAGAACAAATCAATTGAAATTTTGTGTATATATAGGTCTCCTTCTACGTGCCCAAAAATGTTTTGCGAAAATTTAGAATTTTTTTTAAACAATAATGTAAATGAAAAGTTCGACTTCTCGTTAGTGGTTGGAGATCTGAATATAGACATACTTAAAAAATATGAACTACCTGCAACTTCCATATTGTATTTAGAAACGATGAGTGAATTTGGTTATGTGCCCATGATTAGTACACCCACTAGAGAGAATAACGGATCAGGGACTTGTATCGATCATATCTTCCTGAAAAGCAACTACAGCAATCATCCATTTCTACCAACAGTAATAAAAAACAATATTACTGATCACTACACCATTATCCTAGACTTAAATTTAAATATATGTAATACTTCTAGAAGCGAAGATTCACCTCGAACAGCGAAAAGATTTAATAATAATATGTTCAAATCTAAAGTGCAATCTATAAATTGGGACGAGTTCTATAGAGTAAATAACCCTAATGATTTAGCCAACACATTTCTAGATAAATTAAACTGTGCAATAATAGAATCCACGATAGAGCAATCAATAAAAAAACCTATACAAGGAAGAAAGCCTTGGATCACAGCAGGTATTATTAAATCTATGCAAACACGAGATAAATTATATCAACAACTTTTAAATAATCCTGAAAGAAGAGAAATTAAAAAAAAGTATTTATCTTATAGAAACAACTTAACAAAACTTATCAAAAAAACGAAAAACTTTTACTACAAACAAAAAATTTATTCTGTAAAACTTGATACAAAAAACCTCTGGTCAGTGATAAATGATTTCACTACTAGATCCAAAAAAAGTAATAACAATATTCCGTACATATTTAACAATCAGAATGAAAAAATTACTGACGATAAGGAAAAAGCTGACCTTTTTAAAGACTTTTACAGCAGCATAGGTGAGGTACTCGCTAATAAAATAACTGTAGATAACGAAAATAGCACCTCTCCAAGACTGGATAGCAACTTCTTTTTATTCCCAATAGATACCACTGAAACAAAAAAACATATTAATCAATTAAAATTAAAAAAAGCACCAGGTAACGATAATATAAGAGCCGAACTTGTGAAAGACATACAACATGAAATTGCTGCGCCATTAACACATATATACAACAACATTTTTTCAACTGGTATTTATCCAGAAAAATTTAAAGAAGCGATTGTTACTCCAGTTTTTAAGAAAGGAAATGCCCATACCATTGAGAACTATCGACCAATATCACTCATATCTGTATTCAGTAAAATCTTTGAAAAAATCTTGAAGTATCGTTTGGAATCTTACCTGAAAAAAAATCAAATTATATCAAAAAATCAGTACGGTTTCCGGGAGGGACAATCCACAAGTGATGCTATCTCTAGACTTACCGAAAAAATATACAACGCAGTGGATAACAAAAAAGCATCCTTGTGAATTTTCCTAGACCTAGAAAAAGCTTTCGATACAGTATCTCATACAAATCTTTTAAGAGAATTAGAAAGAATAGGCTTCAGGGGGCTAAGTCAGACTTTGCTAAAAAGTTACCTAGACGATAGAAAAATGTTTGTAAAAATCGGATCTAGTTTGAGTGATTCTGGTACAGCAGGATATGGAATCCCACAAGGGACAGTATTAGGGCCCATACTCTTTATTATATACATGAACAGTATACTTACCTCTAATGTTTCTGGAAGTATAGTTAGTTTTGCAGACGACACTGCAATCTTTTATGAAGCCAACAATTGGGACGAACTTAAAAACATCTGCGAAGAAGACCTGAAAAAAATAAAAAAGTTATTTGATAACAAAAAACTTACAATTAATTATAATAAAACCTTTTACCTACCGTTCGCATCCTATAAGTCACATCTTCCTGCTTTTACTGAACTAACCATTCCAAATGATGTAAAAAAACTCTCTATTAAGTCGGCAACCTTTATTAAGTATTTAGGAATATTTATAGATAGTAACCTCCGATGGGAGAACCAAACCCAAAGCGTCCATAAAAAACTGCGATGTGTACTATACAAACTCAAGCAGCTTAAAGGAATTCTAAAACTCAAAGAACTAATTATTATTTACAAAGCCCTCGCTGAATCTATCTTACGGTATGGCATAATAATTTGGGGGGCAGCTGCTAAAACAATAATTGCACCTCTCCAGCGGATACAAAGTCGCATAATAAAAATATTGTTTAATAAACCTTTAATCTACTCAACCGAATCTCTTTTCGCAGAGACTGAACTACTTGATGTTAGACAACTGTATGCACATACAGTTTTGGTAAATATATTTAGGAATAAATCCGAACTCGAACACATCAATCACAAATACGAAACCCGTACAAAGCAAAATGCTAAAACTACCAGAGTTAATAAAACCGTAGGTCAGAGATTTTTTAGCTATATAGGGCCTCGGCTATACAACTCACTCCCAAGCAACATAAAGAATAAAAGCAATACAAACACGCTTAAGGAATCTTTGACTTGTTGGCTGCGTACCAATAGGTGTCACGTACATCAAATTATCAATCATGCCTACTGATAAATGACGAACACCACAGTAGCTTGATTTTCAATATTGATCTCCTTTTTTTCTTTCCTTTTTTATCTGTTCTTGTCTCTAGCTGGGTTTATTCACTCATTCGCTTGAAAGCATTATTCAATTCCTTATTATATAGCTATTTTTAAAGGTACTATATCATACTATATAGGTAGGTACCTTAATCCTAATTTTACTTATACTTAGGTACCCAATTATAATTAGTTTATTAAGACTAGAATAAATTTAGATATGTAAGCAAATATACAATAATATATAGAAAAATGTACTAACAGTTAAGGCGCGTACAAGTTTCAAGAAAACTTAAGCGTCATATTTCCTATACATTGCTTAATTAACAAGTGTAATATTTTTTGATTAATAAACTTACTTACTTACTTACTAATAATTATCGGAGCTGGATTGAAACTATTCATCTGTAGAGAATTTGATTGGCTTCAATCGAAGCCTAATTACGTTAAGATCGGATTGAACTTAACAAAGTTGTGGAACAAAATGTATGTTAGTGTCATTTTCCTGATAAAAATCACAGTCAAAAGAATTTGAAGCTTTGCAGATGCAAAACTATTGAAATCATTCACAGGAAATTTGCAGAAAATATAATTGGCTTTAATTGAAGTCAATAAAAGAAAGGGTCCATTTTGAGGTATCCATCCATATTCAAAGAAAAAAAAATAACACGCGGTATTTCAAAAATTATCAACAAATAAACGATTTTCAGAGGCGTCCTTTAGAGGCACGTAACTTCGTAGGAGAAGATTTTTTTTTAATAGGAAGTTGTCATGTCATTTTTTTGTATTCTATCTGAATCCGAGAGATTGTTCATATATTCTGAAACACCCTTCACATAAACATAGGATTAAGTAAGCTTATTTGTTCTCTACGTTTTATTTTGGGAAATCGAAAAGTGCCAATTTTTAGGTTCGGTAACCTATTTTTCGCGATGCTCATTAGGGCGCGAGGTCGTCGGCGGTCGCCGACGCCTGGTTACGCCACTGTTGGTAGAGGAAGACCTCTACATGTGAGGAAAGACTAGAACTACAAAAACTGCTGAGCTTCCAAAATAGAAGAACAAAAGGAGATCTTGGCCAGTATTCTCGGTATATCCCAGTATACCGGCCCTTATCTCCACCTACCAAACACTCCGCAACAACATTCAAACAGTTAGACACCTCTATGCCTTGAACACAGACCAGATACTCTGGGGTCACAGTCTCAAGCTCCATAGTGTGTGAGAAGAACTTTCTACCAAACAGAGTATTTGCCCTCTGGAACCCTGAAATCAACTCCCAGCTGAAACAGTTAGTGCTACTTCTGCATCAGTGTTCAAGATAAAACTTGATAGTCAGTTCCCATAGTGCTTTAACCAAAGCAAACAATCAAAAACTATCAGTTCTAAAACAATTTATAAGTAACAGTGCAAAAATGGGCTTATAGGTTATAGGTCTCACCTCATCCCATATCCACTAGTTAGTAATAGTAGCAGTAATACTCTATTTTTTAAAAAGATATAATAATAAATCAAATGCCCTATTAATAGTGTTCCTTTTTTAGCTGCCATTAAACACAATGGAAAATTTATTTGAAAAATAGCAATATGTAGGTATTTGTTAGATTTTTTTTTATTAGTCTCTAGCAATTAAGTGAAATTTCTTACCTGCTGGAACAGGTATAGTAACAGTACGTCTTTGCACTGTAGATCCTTTTCCTTCGCACTCAATACATTTGTTCTTAATAAACATCCTGGTACCCTGACAATATCTACACGTAGAGCGCATTATAAACGGTCCAGTTGATATGCTCTCCATTCCAGTGCCATTGCAATAAGAGCACATGGTGGCTTTGGTACCCAGTTCGCATCTAGACCCTCTACATTTGGGACAAACGTCTACTACATTTACGGTAACCTCTTTGTTGGTTCCTCTAGCTGCTTGACTAAATGAAATTCTTAAGACTACCTAAATAATTTTAATATTAAATTATTTTGTATCGATTAGGTATTTGTGAAGTTTGGTACCTCTTGGGCTTCTCCAAACCCATAACTACTTTCAGCAAAATCATCAAATGGCGATTTTGAAGAAAATCCTGCATTACCAAATATTTTCCTAAAAAGTTCCTCTGGGTCAATTGAGGCTTGATATTCCCAGTGTTGTGAAAAGCCTTGAGGCCCCTGAGCCCTTCCAGTACTCGCCCCACCCATTTGCTCAGCAGTAGAGCCCCAAGTGTCGTATTGTTTTCTTTTTGTTTCATCTCCTAAGATTTCATATGCCTCAGAGGCTTCTTGGAATTTTTTCTGAGCCTCGGGGTCATTTTTGTTAACATCGGGATGGTATTTTTTAGCCAACTTATAGTAGGCTTTTTTGATTTCTGCATTTGAGGCGTTACGGCCTACCGAAAGGATATTGTAATAGTCTTTTTTGGGAGCTTTTTGTACAGAACTCAAGTGGAAGGTTCTCTTTGGTAAATCTAGGACAAGAAAATCCCCATAGAGTTTGAGGTTATGTCATCGCTTAAGCTACATGCTATTCAGCCTCAAATCAAGTATGTTTTAATTTGAACAGTGAAAACTAGTCTTAAACTAATGGAATGTCATTAAACATGATGTAACTTACGGATTTGTGGATGATTCGCGATGTTGATGGTCAAAATATCGCCCTTTTTGCACTGCCAACACTGGTGCAGGAACCGCACGTTTTTGTTCACTTGGGGGGCCGTCAAAATGTTAATTTGTCGAGAGCCTAGTAGGCCGAAAAGGCTCCGGCAACTTGCCATACTTCCTTTATCTTAGGAAAATTTTTAAGGAAAGAAATCAAAAAAATCAAAGGTTAAAGTTTTTTCGGATGAATTTTTCTGTCACCTGTCAGTAGTGTCAGCTGAAAAGTAGGTAGGGCGACGATATATCGATATACAATCGACATTGATCGATTATCGACATATTTCCTAGGATTAGTAATAGGTCTGTTTCTGCAGAAATTTTCAACCAATGAAATTCGCTCTGACTGGTTTGTGATTTCTGCAGAAACAGACCTAATCGAAAAGATTCGCAAACATTAGAGCTGTTTTCTCGCGGTGGAACTGGTTCGACCCGGTTCAATTAGGTTCGAACCTGTACATTCTTGCGTTGAACCAGTGACGTCACATTGAACCTGGTTCAAAAAATTTCGAACCGTACTCATGGCTTGTTCTCCGCTGACATAAGACTGTGGTTAAAACCTTCCATTTTCTCGCGTTCACAAGTGATGACGTCATCTACAAATTGGTTTAAACCGTAGTTCGAACCATTCGCCCCGCGAGAAAACGCCTCTGGTCTGTTTCTGCAGAAATCACAAATCAGTCAGAGCGAATTCCATTGTTGTGACGAATGCAACATGTTATTTCTCGCCTTGACGTATGCTGTTTAAACAGCTGACGACTTTTGTTATGACGTCGCAAGTCGCAAGAAGAATAAACAATCAAGGAGTGCTTATCGGCCTCGTTTTTGGTACAGTTTTTGGTAATCGCCGCCATATTGGTGTGATACCCAAGCAAGGCGAGAAATAACATGCTGCCTCAAGGCTAGGTACACTTGGACAAACATAAAACTGGTAATACGCATTTTCCTATTGTGTTGTATTGTGTAAATCGACCTTTTTTATCACCTCAAAAATGATCAAAAAGAGTTAAATCAGTGTCATCTTTCCTTGCGTTCGGTATTTTTCTCAAAGAGCAGAGCGTGCTGAACGGAGCCGTAATCACGTGACCAGCGAGCGAACAGAGCAGTTGAACGCTGTATCAGAGTGTCAGAAATTTCAATAAACTAACGCTCATATACCTGCACCGAGTACACTTTTCAGTGCTTGAACTTGGTCCTCAACTTCTTGAACATCTTCTTTAACTTCGGCTTTAACTTCCTTAATCTTTTGTTGCAGGTTAACGACAGATGCTTTATGGTTTGTAATATTTTCTGCAGTTGTCCAATGTCTTCTTGCCGTTCTTGTTGTCGTCTAGCTTCTTCTTATTTTTCTTTTTCTCGTTTAGCCTCTTCTTGTTGTCGTTAAGCTTCTTCTTGTTTTTCTTTTTGTCGTTTAGCCTCTTCTTGTTGTCGTCTAGCTTCATCTTCCTGTTTTTCTTTTTGTGGTCTGGCCTCTTAGACAAGGAAAGAGAGGGTAGGTACTTGTATCACAGCAGGTGTAAATGAAGCAAGTTGCCACCAAAAAATGGCTGCTTTTCCATAACATAACCTAGAAAGCATATTGTTTTTTGCCTGTTGAATGTAATCCCGTCGACTTTTTTTTCTCTGTGGGTCTTGCAGCCATCTTCTAACAATCCACCATGCTGAATACCACAAAAAATGTTAGTCTGAACTAAAATTCGCATAGCGACACCATGAAAATTTGTCGCCATTATTTGGTGGCATTCGGTCACAACCAGCTGCTAGTGCAGGTAAAGGATGTTACGCGTCGGCGTCCTCTCTCTTTCCTTGTCTAAGTCTGGCCTCTTCGTCTTGTTTTTCTTGTTGTCGTTTAGCTTCTTCTTCTTTTTCTTTTTGTCGTTTGGCCTCTTCGTCTTGTTTTTCTTGTTGTCGCTTAGCTTCTTGTTTTTCTTTTTGTCGTCTGGCCTCTTATTCGTCATTTTTTTCTTGTTGTCGTTTAGCTTCTTCTTCCTGTTTTTCTTTTTGTCGTTTGGCCTCTTCGTCTTGTTTTTCTTGTTGTCGTTTAGCTTCTTCTTGTTTTTCTTATTGTCGTGTGGCCTCTTGCAGTTTCAATATTTTGCGCAGAAGTTCTTCAACTTTTTGTTCCTCCATTTTTGCTTGTTGTCTCGTAATAGGCATATACAGGATGTTCTGGAATTTCCCTCAAACTGTCTTCAAATATCTTCCCTGGTCTTTGATTGAAGTTCCAAACACGTGGGTAAATTCACAAATTGGATAACTTGCTTTATTCTTGAATAGAATGTTCTAGAATTTGTAGCGACGCAGCAATAAACCACCAAGAAAAACCGCCAAGAATAAAATAATTGTTAATAGATCTGGTTATTTTGTTGAAAAATGAAACAAACAACAAACAAAACATAAATCAAACTGGAAAAATGAAATGAAACTCAACTACAACTTACCGAAAATTAAACACCCCAGGAGACCACAACACTCAACCAGTTACGGCCGGAACTTCTAGTAAAATGATTTGACCAGCGAACAAAGAAACAAAAGAAACTGAAATCCCTTCTCAAAGATCAATAACTGGGGTCACACAAAAATAGATGATTCAATTGAAATGTGTCCCTGAAAGGCGGCACTTTTCTAACATGACGGCATCTGTCACTGAAGCCAAAATTCCGGGAAGAAACCATAAATCAGGCGCGTGCTGTATGCCGACAAAGAAAGTGCTGACAAAGAAATGGTACCGCATTCCACTAAAACGAGGGCCGAAATGACGAAATCTTGATGTCAAAGCACTTGCAAAATTGGGGGAAAAAATTAGGTCGCCGAAAGAACAAAGGAAGGAAGGAGAATATTTTTATATAAAAAGCCCGAATTGCGAGAAAAATATGTCGATTCAGAAGAAGTTTCAGAACAGAACGGTCAAAAGTGTCAGTTGAAAACAGTCAGATCGGTCAGTCAAGTGTCAGACGCAACAAGCAGAGTCCAAAGTCGAAGATAGTACGAAAAGTTTCAAGGAGGCAGTGCGAAAATTTCGGGTTCATAAAGTCAAGTCGTAAAATTAACGTTTCAGTAATTACGTGTGTGCCAGTAGAATTTTAAAGTAATAAATACATCTTGTAAGTACATTTACACTGTAAAGAAAGGAAATTTGTACTTTTTATAAAATAGGACAAAAGTTAATGAATTGACAAACTTACGAAAGTTAAATAATTATCCCAATAGGAATTAAAACATTGTTAAGATGATATTTCATGATTAATAGTTGGTAAAATAAGAAAATTTGAAGCTAAATTTTGGAAAAGAACTTTTTTATTGAAACATATTTCGTTCATAATTATTTATAACATTTTGAATTGGGATTTTCGTGATTTATAATTGAAAAAAGTTTGAACTTTCTAACTTAACATTATTTTTGATAAGGCAAACTTTTGATACGAAGCTTACCTATTGGAATTTCTATAATAGAATTAAGGTATTTGTGAGAAAAGAGTAAATTTTTAAATAAGTCAGATTTAAAAATTTGATTATTATATTTCAAGCCTTTCTTGCCGACGCCCGATAAATTTATTTTAAATAAAATCATATTAACATAATAGTCCACAGTTGTGTTTTACTCTCACACCCGCAAATAGGACCCATATCAATCTGTGTCTCCACTCAGAAACAAAAGCCGCCGCTCGCCAATTCAACATCATATAAGTTTCTGAATTGGGGTCCCACAAATTTTCTTGAAATGTCTTTTCTGAATGTCGATTGATATAGCAAACACGTCGGTGAAGTCACAAATTAAATATCTCCCTTGGTTTACAAATAGAATGTTCTTAAATTTTCCCGAAATTCCTCGAAATTCTTTTTCTGAATGACGATTGATGTATCGAATACGTCGGCGGAGTCACAAAGTCGATATCTCCCTTGATTTCCGAATCGAATTTTCTAGAACATACTTGAAAATTCACTGTCACAGTCAAAATCGGGTATACAGTCACTTTCGGAGTAATTTACACGATCGGTTAAGTCTCTTTTGGTGATTGTCACTGCTTTACACTGACTTAACTGTCCCAGTGTTCACTGTGTTCACACTATAGTATCCGCGCAATATCCTGCAATCGGATTTCACTTTGCAGTCCTCGAATTATCTCACTTCTGACACCAATGTCATCGTTTCTTCCAAAATCAAAGTCCAATTAACACAGCAGTGATTTATTCCACGTTATTATACACTCTGACACTAATTACTTCACTAATTAACTCAAACAACTTAACTCTTTACAACTCTTAACAATCCTTTCTTCCAGACAGCTTGGTTTCCGGGACTTGATGGGAACCCATGACGCTGTTTTTAATCTCCTGAATACAGCCTATTCCAACATGAATCAGAGACTGGCGACGGCAGCGGTGTTTTGTGATTTATCCAAGGCTTTTGATTGTGCGGATCATGGAATACTGCTGTCCAAGCTCGAACGTTATGGCGTAAGAGGGACGGCTTTGCGTTGGTTCATTTCCTATCTTGCTGGTATTTGTCAATCGGTTGTGGCTTCTGGAGCACACTCTTCAAATATGTTGATTGGATGTGGAGTGCCGCAGGGCTCTGTTTTTGGGCCGCTTCTTTTCCTCCTATATAAAGTCTGTTTTTTTTTTAAAGATAATTCCCCAAGTCAAAAATTTAGTAACTATGTTGGCAACACAAGCCTTTTCTACATAAAAAATTTGAAAGCATTGACAATTTTACATTGTATTGCCAACATAATGTCATTTTGACTTTTATCTTTAAAAAAAAAACGCACTTTATTAACGACCTCGCCCGTGTTGGGATATCTGGAGAGTTTACTATTTTTGCGGACGACACCTCAATAATCTGGCATGGTCCTAATGTTGATGTGCCATTTCCCATGTGCCCCTTGTTTATAATGTTGACAAGACCACTATTCTTGGTTTCAGGTGGAACGTGGATGGCCTGATACTGGGCACTTCCCTGGTCGGGGTGGGTACGACTTCTAAGTTTCTGGGCGTTTGGGTAGATAAGGACCTTCGTTTCGAAGATCACATCTTGAGGTTGAGCAGAAAACTTTCATCGGGCTGTTTTGCAGTGAGGGCTGTGAGAGGCGAATTGGGTCCTGAAATGACGCGAACGGTCTACTTTGCGTTATTTGAGTCGCACCTCCGATATGGAATTCCATTTTGGGGCCTTGATACA